GAGAGAGGAGCCTCAATATTTTTCTGACACTGTGCAATAGGCACATCCGTACTACTGATGCCTTGCGGCCTCTCGAGCATATCCATCAAGAGAGGGTCAAAGTATGTAGAATTAACTAGCATAGAAGCACGGCTGATAGGGACCACAACCTGCATACCTGAATGATCAGCTGATGTAACAACATGTGTATTCTGTAGTACAACCCTGTAGGGGACAACTGTCGACTGATCTGATGGCATAGAAACAGTAATATGTGGCTCAATAGTACTAATATCAGGTGGAGCACTAAAGGGGGTAGGAGCCATATGTATGGAAACCACTTGTGCTGCAGTAACTTTGGTGCTCGGGATGATGGGAGGAATAGAAGTAATAGTCTGAGAAGAAGATTGAGAAATCACATATGGTGTACCATCTTGTCTCTTGTGATTTTGCTTAACTGGCATCCATCTCTGTCGACGCGCAGGCACAACCTCCTTACCCTTACCTTTATCCTTGGCCGAAACTAAATTAGGCATGTGATTAGGGTTAACAACACCTGGGGCCACATGAGGTGGAGCAGGTTGGGAGCCACTAGAACACTTTTCATCCAAATGACCAAAGTGTCTGCATGAAGCAAAATTCTGGCATGTTGTCATATACAACAGGTTGCCAATATCCTCCCATTTTCTCCCTCTTAATCCATACTCTATCAGGAAGCTTACATTCTAAATCAACCTCAATACAAACTCTCGCCTCACTAGGTCGTCGAAGGTCTGAAGTGGCTTCGTTTATGCGAAGCGGAAGCCCAATAGCTTTAGCAATAGCAAATAATACACTCTTGGCACAAAAGTGAATAGGGAGCAGAGGAAATGATACCCAAACAGGAGCAATAGGGACCTCATACTGTGGGTAAAAACTGGGAGTCCATTAAAAAACCCGCATAGGACAGCCATCAATGTACTAAGTAGGTTTGAGGAATAATCGCGAATAATCATCCTCGTGCGCCATGTGAATTACGATGTGTACCTCATCAATTAATCCAATCTCATAATCACCATTAAATCCAAAGTGCAAAAAGTTCTCACGTACCTTGATCATAGAAGGTTTACGATGCATAAATTTACCTACAAGGGTGAACCTGTAGGACTTCGCCAAAAACTGTTCATCTGACTCCTCAAAAAATACAGCAGGCTCACCATGGTGAATATATGGTTCTTTTGAAACTAAGCTATGATCTCTAGAATCCTGAGAAGCCCGGAGTACAGTAGCGAATGATTTCCTCTGGCTCCTCTCAGCCTGAGTCACAACATGTCTGTTATTCACGGCTGCAGCATAAGACCATGGAGCCTGAGAAATAACTGGAACACCAGATGGAGCAGTAGGAGGTCTAGATGAAATCGTAGCAAGATTATCCGAATGGTTCCGCGCGTGAATATCATGCGCCGCTGGCTTGGCCGCCATCTTAGGTGCCTGCTGAGATTGATTCTGGGATACGTTAGCATAGCGCGAGGCTGCAAAATCCGTTGGAGGTTGAGATCGTGAATGAGGTTCAAAATTGGCAGTGAGACCCTCCAAGTTATTGACCAATGGCAAAGGCACCATAGGAGCATTGGCGGTAGCAGAGTTCAATGGTAGTAGGACCTTGTCATGGGTAGCA